AGTCTATAATAAGTCTGTGGAAAGGTTCCTCAGGCACCTGTATGGGAGTCAGTGGTGCTCTGGGAATAGAGATGTTCGGTTTACCTGCCATCTGACATGTATGACACTGTTTGACGTACTGTTTGACGCTATTTACCATACCTGGCCAGTAGTAGTCTTGACGGATTCCATGGTAGGTCTTGTTAAATCCGTAGTGGGAGAGTGCTCCGTGGGCCAGGTGTAGAATAGTGCAACCCGTTCTCGCAAATTTAATAAGTCCATATTGACTTATTAGTTGCGTGCATAGGTGACATACTAAACATAATAGTTTCCCCTTGAAAAGCTTCATAGAAAACACCGACCTTACCTAACCTCCTTAGTATGTTAAAATAATCATCTTATAGCTTCATAATTACAATTGTTACTTAACCTATTATAGGTATAGGTTAGGTAATAATTGTAATTACGAAGCAATAATATCTTCTTGAGGTTATCTTGAGATGATTTCGGGGCTTTACTGTCCCCGCGGCCCGGTCCTTGACCAGGCCTCCACCCCCAGGAAGCAGCCCGTGACAGCTGACTAACTCCCAGGTACCTATTTACTGCTAGGTAACAGGGGAATTCAGGGTGAAAGAAACTTTGCCCATTTGTTTCTGCCTTGTGCGGGAATCGAACCCGCGCCCCAGAATTACGAGTCCTGCGCGCTATCCACCAGGCTACGAGGCCCCTAGATGCTTATCTTAACATACTAAGTAGGTTAGGTAAGGTCGGTGTTTTCTATGAAGCTTTTCAGGGGAAACTATTATGTTAAGTATGTCACCTATGCACATATATAATAAGTCAATATTGACTTATTAAATTTGCGAGAACGGGTTGAATAGTGGGCCGCAGGCTGGCAGGAATCACTAGTTGTTCGACGTTGGCCCAATCGTCCTCCTCCTTCAGTTTACTGGGTCTATATCTGCGGTAGAGCAACTCGTTCTCTAGGAAGAACCCAGGAATACTGTCAGGTTGAGTCTTAGCCTGGAAAAATAATGGTGTCAAGGTAAGATCTTCCCTCCGTAACTTACAGAACTCCAACTTGGTCAGATTCGGGGGTAGTTTCTGAGGGTCTTGAGGTACAGCGGTAGCAGTAGAGTCAGCTGGCTGTGGTCGTGCAGCTTGTGTACGGGTGGTCACTAAAACCGGAGGAGAAACTTCATCACTCTCTTGAACCTTTGCTGGAACATACTCAAAGATGGGATTATCCATTACAGAGGTACACACCTGGGATTTGTCCATGACGATCAAGTTGGTCGGTTGCAGGTCTTCTGCCAAGTCGTTGCCCAGGAGAAGTTGCACTCCAGGCATGGGAAAAGGCTTTTCCCTGATGGCGATTTGGACTTATCCGGTCACGAAGGGACAATCCAGGTGGACTCTGGCGAGAGGATAAGGAGTGGTAGCAGTGAGGTCAGTGATGAAGACAGTTTCTCCGGTGTAGGCGATATTGGGCACAGCCGACTTCAAAATAATCGATTGAAGAGCCGCTGTGTCCCTCAAGATCTTCAGTTTGAAACGTCCCTCCGGATTTGAGCCGTTGGTAGAGACAGTTCCAGGGTACAGGTGTTTACTGAAAAGAGAAAGATCATTAACATGAACACCAACATTCATCACAGGCTTACCGGACTTAGGAGGAGTTGGTTTGGGTTTTTGTGATTCGGTGGTTCCTTTGTATTGAGACTTACCACATTTATCTATGGTATGTCCATAGAGACTACAATACTTACAGTACAATTGCGAGCCAGCTTGATCGGTCCTCACTTTCTCGTAACTGTACCACGACTTCTTACTGGAAGATGGTTCTGGTGTCAGCCGGTGGATGAGGCTGTAAGTGTCAGCCGACTTAGCACACTTTAGGTAGTCGGTTTCTTCTTTATCTGCTAAATATAGACGGACAGGAGGCGGCACACGCCTCAAGAATTCTTCAACTAGCATGAGGTTGACGAGTACTGCAAAGGTAGAGACATGTGCTGCTTCCAGCCATTTCATAAAATATCTCCTTTTGGTATTAGCAAATTCGAGAAAGGTAGTGGTACTTGCCTTCAGGTGGTCACGGAATTTCCTTCGATAACTTTCGGTGGAGAGAAGGTAGGCGTCCAACACTGCTTGTTTCAGAGTCTGGTAGTCATTCTCAGACGCCAAAGTACTGAGTGTAACTGCAGCTCTACCTGTAAGATGTACTCTGAGAAGGGTTGCCCATTGGTCGGCAGGCCAACTAAGTTGATTAGCAAGGGTTTCAAAGGTGGTAAAAAACACATCAACTTCTGTCTCTACGAATGGTGGCATTAACTTACTTGCATGTGATATATTGAAACTGACGGGAAGATTGGCGGTAGCTTGCTGGCGTTGAGCGAGGTGTGAAGTTTCCAACGCGAATTCTCGTTGACGACATTCCATAGCCAGAGTTGCTTGTTGTTTGTCATGTTCGTGTTGCATCTCCAATTGGCGTTGTTTTGTTTCAAGCTGTACTCGTTCCCGCTCACGGAGTATTGCAATCTCACGTTCTTGTTCTTCTTTCCTCAAGGCAGCTTCTCGTTCCTTTTCTTCCTTTCTTATGGCAGCTGCTTCCCTTTGTTGCTCGAGGGCTTCTCTTTGTTGTTCGCGTTCGATCTTGGCCAGCTCTATTTTGAGTTTCTTCGTTGCCAAATCAGTTTTATCTGCAATAAAGTAAGTTTCGTGAGTTTCAGAGTCTATCTTACCTTCCTCTAAGAGATGATCCAGTAACAGGTTATGTATTTCATTTTTGTTGGCTTGGTAGGGAACTTCTAGTTGATACTCATGTGCAAGAGTTTGTAATTCAGTCCTCTTGGCACGACTTAAAGTCCCTATTTCACCTGCTGGATCTGCACGGAAAGCTTGGAGACTAAACATGGTGAAATTAGCAAATAAATGCACAACGAATATATTGTTGTGATATGGTGAATGTCAGAAACAGGACAACGTGGCAACTGGTACCTATCCTGTGGAATCTTTAACAGTTAATGTTAATTTCAAGATGATGAATGATTAATAAATCAAGGTCGCAGGAAATCTTGTACCCGGTACTCATGTAAGAGGATAAGGGCAAGAAAATCCTACTAAACAAGCGAAACTGAGTTTCTAAAACAAATGAAACAGTTAATTGCCTCAAAAGTGTAATAGGTAGTCCAAGAATGTAGGCATACCTTGCCGAGTCTCTATAGAACATAAGCAAGTTTTTCCCGCTGAAATTAATATGATACTTACAGAATTAGCGAACTTTTGTGCTCTGAAAAAGAAGGCTAATTCCCTACCAATGTAAATATCATCATCTCTGACCGACGTGTAGGGGTGCGAGGTGTCAACTGGTGACGAGAACTGCTGCTGAGGTCCCAATTCAGCAACTAAAGTTCGTGCGAGAGGAACTATGGCCCTCTTTATCCTCCTACTGTCAGATTGCAGAAGATTAGGTGCACTTGACCCAGGGACAGACCACAGTACCAGGGTACCAATATGATGGTCTGCCGAAAATATGAGAAATATCCTAGGGACAAAAGATGGTAAACACGAGTAATAACACGGAGCGAGAGATGACCAATTAAGAGTATGACTGAGGCCTACAGTCACCACGTAATCCAAAGTTGTCTCGCCTTCACCATATGCTACTCTCGGAATGCACAATACACACAGCACCATATGAAAATAAAATTGAATATTAAAAATAGTGAAAAGCTTCATTACCAAAGCCAAATACGCTTACCACAAATTTACTATTTGGCACCAGTACCTGAGTGAAGCTCCATGGACAGGCCCCCACGTAATGTGACGGTAAAGTGTTGGTGTTCAGCTGTTTCAAAAGCTGGGGGCAGGGCCTCGTCACATCACAAAAAAAGAGAGAAAAGTTTGTCCTTTCGTCTGTGGTAAGATAATGGGAAGACACACAAAACACAAGTATATAAACAATGAAATTTTAATTACTCTAGAAAACAAGACATGAATAAAGGCAATCTCATAAAATGTACGACAAGTCGACAAACAAAATAACATGAAAAATAACTGGCAATGAAAAGTTACTCTAAGACAAGTAAGTTATAGAGATAGCAATATAAATAAAATATGTGCGGTGCTGGAATACTGGCTTCAAGCTGCCACCTCCCTAAGTACATGAAAGCCAAGGCTTAGTCTACTAGCGAGAGATGTCAACTACAAGGAGCACAAAGATATTCTGACGAGTACGGCGTGCTGCTGCCCAGACGACGACTCATGGTGGTGGCGGAGTGCAGGTGCGACGAGACACCAGCCAATCAGCATTATGCAGGCAGAGGATAAGCAGTTTGCTGGTTACGGCGGGCTGTAGCCAGGTGTCGGGGTGTGCATAGTACGATTTGCTTCCTGGGCAAAACGTTTGGCGATACTGGTGGACGTATCTTCTATATAGTATCTTGTACTTGTACGACGTAATGATGTAGGGAAGAGCAGGCTCAATCTCTCTTGAAAGAGATTATCGTCACAATATATATATATATATATATATATATATATATATATATATATATATATATATATATATATATATATATATATATATACTGTGCTACAAATAAAACGTGGAACACAACGTGGCGTATACTTTGCCCGAAACGCTATGCGTGCTAGTGGGTTTACAGGAATGCAGGCGATGAGTCACAACGTGGCTAAAGTAAGTTGACCAGACCACACACTAGACGGTGAAGGGAAAACGACGTAATTACCGTTCTGGACAGTAATTTGCTTGAGAATGGTCCAGGACGGACCGAAACGTCGTCGTCCCTTCACCTTCTAGTGTGTGGTCTGGTCAATTTACAGGAACGTCTAACTTCAAGTCTCTACGCTAATAAACCCTATGTGCCTTCTTGTACATAAAAAAATAAATAAATAAATGAATAACAAGTATACGGGGCGCCACGTATATGGCGAATTATGGCAAGTATGGGTAGATTAGGAGATAGTATTGGCGGCCGTCGACGCCTTGCTGCCTCAGTCTCCACTTGTGGACGCCAGGTGCCCCCGCGCTCGTGGGGGGGGGGGGTCTACAAAACGTTTTCCTAACACAGTCTGACTCTTACAACTGTGAACGCCAGCGCTGCATAGTGTGATCTACACTGTTGCGGTATGTAGCTGCTTTTTACATTCCTGTGCCGTATTCCCATTATAGTGCAGTTGGCTCTTCATTCTCGACTCTCAGTCGGGAAACCGGGTTCGATTCTTAGGCCGGGGAGAAATGATTGGGCACATTTCCTTTAACCTAATGTGTCTGTTCACCTAGCAGTAAATAGGTACCCGGGAGTTAGGCAGTTGTTGTGGGGTTCCATCCTGGGGTGTGTCTGTATAGCTCGACCTTAGGGGGGCGGGGCTTCGATAACGGCACTGTTGGATATAGTGCCCAGTGTCTTATCAACATGAATCATTTAGCCACAACAGTAATACTTAATAAAGAGAGTAGATTATTAATTGTTGAGACTGTATAAGCCTGATATATATGTGAAAAAGAAGAAGGCAACAGCTAAAGATGGCCCCGGGCTCTCTGGGGGTGGAGCTCTGCCAGTGTGTATAGGGACGGGGGGGGAGGGAAGGAGTGAAGCGCACCAGTGGTGACCTTTCTCTCCTTTCCCCCCCCCCCCCCCCATCCTAACAAGCACATCCCTCGGGGTTAGAAGGAATGAATTTGTGAGGGAGGAAGGTGTAGGGGCTTCAGACCTCCCGACCTCTGCCGGCTACATGTAGGCCACACCTGTTTACTGACCAATCAAATAGTATAGTTTTGTCCTGAACATAGAGCAGGACTTAAATAAATTGATGTTTGTTGTTGTTGTTTTAGATTCAGCTACTCTAAACAAAAAGTTCCAAGTAGCAGGGGCCCGTAGTGAACATAAGAATGAAGGTAACTACAAAAGGCCTATTGGCCCATATGAAGCAGCTCTTATTTATATCCACCCAATCTTATTCATATAAATGTCTAATCTGTGCTTGGAACAATCATGGGATCTTACTTCTATTATGTTACGCGGTAATTGGTTCCACAAATCAACAACCCTGTTACGAAACCCGTATTTACTCATGTGTTTCCTAAATCTAAACTTATCTAGATTTAAGTTGGATAAGTTTAGATTTAGGAAGGACCTGGGTAAATACTGGTTCGGTATGTTAGTTTAGGTCATTTATTATGCCCCATACCCATCTTGTGGGCGGTAGTGGAAAGGGTTACAGAGGCATATAATGGGCTCAGGGACTGAACTCCACAATTCATTTAGCTAAGCAAGTTACAGTCTTGATGAGCTAGTTACAGAATTCAATGCACATCGTCGCATCAACAATGGACTCGAGATCGACCGCAAGTACGGTTCCTAAATTAAGCAACTGACACATGTGGAGAGTTAATGTCACAATTGATATGTTTGTCCTGCACACCGTCCCCCATCCAGTGGGCACCGGTGGATAGGTTCCAGTCACTTAGTTACTACCTACAGTTAGTAAACTAGGGATATTTGACTAAGATTTCTGGTAGCAGATCATTTTTAATTATTTACACATCTCTGGAACATTACAGAATGTAATTTAAGCTTCGTCAAACTTTCTTCATGACAGGTTTCAAATTTGCGGGATTTATTTCCCTCCTGATTTTTATATCATCGGCAAATTTGCAAATATTGCTTCTCAAACCGGAATCTAAATCATTTATATATATTATGAATAATAATAATAATTCGGAGCCTGAAGGCTGAGTGGACAGCGCTCGGCGTGCGTAGATCTAAGAGTCTGGGTTCGATTCCCGGCAGAGGCAGAAACAAATGAGCAAAGTTTCTTTCACCCTGATGTACCTGTTCACCTAGCAGTAAATAGGTACCTGTGAGTTAGATAGCTGCTACGGGCAGCTTCCTGGGGATGTGTGTGTCTGAAAATTAGGATTAAGGACTTGCCCAAAATACTATGCGTGCTAGTGGCTGTACAAGAATGTAAGAGCTCTTGTATAAATTAATAAAAAAAAAAAAATACATAACAGAGGTCCCAGGACAGAGCCTTGAGGCACTCCACTTACAACATTTTCCCACTCTTACTTAACCCCGTTTTACCCCATTTTTCTAAAACTGTTGACATTCTTTCTAAGATCAGATATTATGTACCTCGCCCTGCCCTGGTGACGCTCTATTACTCCCTCATCTATCCTTATCTCAACTATGGTATTTGTGCTTGGGGTTCTACTACCCAAAATCATTTACGTCCTCTAATTATCCAACACAAAGCTGCTATTAGGACAATATCTAACTCTGGCCCCAGACAGCACTCGGTACCCTTACTCAAATCTCTGAATATGTTAGATATTAAGTCACTGCACATCCTCTCATGTGTACTCTATATATATAAAACTCTGTACTGTAATGTCAGTCCTGACCTTAAAAGCTTCTTAGAAGGTTGTAACAGAACCCATGGGCACCACACAAGACACAAATACCTATTTGATATTCCAAGATTACGACTTAATCAAACTAGAAATGCTCTACAAATCAAGGGACCCAGAATATGGAATGACCTTCCCAATCATGTCAAATGCTGTACATCTCCCAACCAGTTTAAGATGAAAACTAAGTACTACCTATTTAACTCCATGTAACATACCTCACCCCTAAATGTTAACCCATGTCTTACTATTTTTAAACAATGCTGTTTGTTGACCAACTTGTGTATTGGCTATTTTCTACCATGTTCCCCCCTTTCTTTTATATTTTTTTTTGTTTCAATCGAATTTATACTTTAAGCTCAATTACTATTAAGTTTTAGTCTAAGTTTTTTTTCTTCCACACCTTGCCCGAAACGCTCTGCGTATTAGTGGCTTTAAGTATTTGTATGTACTTGCTCTGTCTATAAATAATCTGAAGGTTTTTAACTCTGCATCTATGTATGTACTTTTCCTAAATAAAATATTATTATTATTATTATTATTATTATTATTATTATTATTATTATTATTATTATTATTATTATTATTATTATTATTATTATTATTATTATACTAACTCTTTGTTTCCTTTGGTATAGCGATGCCATAATCCAACTTAATATAGAACCCCCAATACCGTGAGCCTCTATCTTTTTAATAAATCATTCATGTGGCACTGTATCAAAATCTTTGCTAAAGTCAACGTACACAAATTATAAATCTTACCACTATCAACTGCCTAAACTATGCTGGAATAAAATGATAGCAAATTTGTTAAACATGAACGGCCATTTGTAAAACCATGTTGTGAATTTTTTATTAATCTATGTTTTACAAGATGAAGACTGATAGTATTTGCAATGTTTGCTTCAAGCAACTTTCCCACAATAGACGTTAAACAAACAGTGAAACTCAAGCCAAACAAATCCCCAGGGCTGGACGAAGTGTTTGCCAGGGTGCTTAAAAAATGCAAAGTGGAGCTTTGCGAGCCACTGTCTACCATATTTAATAAATAATTAGTCAGGCAGAGTGCCAGAGTCGTGGTAGGTTGCTAATGTGGTACCAATTTTCAAGAAAAGAGATAGATCACTTGCGTCAAACTTTCGGCCAATTAGCTTAATAACATCCTCCCTGGTAACTGCTAAACTAGTCAACCTGTCCTCTTTCACACCAACATAGACTTGTTCGGCTGAAGGCATAATGTTAAGTTCTTCTTTAGTAAATACAGATAAAATATTTATTGAAAATACTACTCATCTCTTCGTCTTTATCAGTTATCTGACCTGTCTCAGATTTTAATGGACCTGTCCTTTCTCTAATCTTTGTTCGATATAACTGAAAAAAAGTCTTTATGATTTGTCTTTGCTTGCCCCTGCTATGCTAACTTCATAGTTTCTTTTTGCCCTCATTATCTCTTTTTTTAACATTTCTAACCAGTTGGACGAATTCTTGTTCTAAACTGACTTCCCCATTCTTTATCCTTTTGTACCAAGCTCTCTTTCTACCTATAAGGTTCTTCAGATCCTTTGTTATCCATTTCGGGTCATTATTATTCGAGCTATTCAATTTGTATGGAATACTTCGTTCCTGTGCTTGGCTAAGAATATTTTTATATAAGTTATTTTTGAATCAACATCGAAATCTCTTTTAACGTGCGTCTGACAGCTGAGTGGACAGCGCTTCGGATTCGTAGTCCTGAGGTTCCGGGTTCGATCCCCGGTGGAGGCGGAGACAAAGGGACAAAATGTTTCTTTCACCCTGATGCCCCTGTTACTTAGCAGTAAACAGGTACCTGGGAGTTAGACAGCTGCTACGGGCTGCTTCCTGGGGGATGTGTAACAAAAAGGAGGCCTGGTCGAGGACCGGGCCGCGAAGACCCTAAGCCCCGAAATCTTCTCAATATAACCTCAAGATATACGTCACCCATCGCTGGGTTCACGTCTCGCTCCAAGACCGCCCCCCCCCCCACCCGTCCCATGCACAGGACACCCCAAAAATTCCTTAGGCCATTAAAATCAGCTTTTCGGAAATCTGGCACTTTAACATAATTTTATCTTACAAATATATTCCATTCAATGCTAAATCTGGCTTCTTTGTGATCACTACTCCCTAGCTCACTCACTATTTCTATGAAGGGAGAGCATGGAGAGTGTCTTGAAGAATATCCTTGATGGCTTGGGGAGTATCCTTTTATGCGTAAAAATGTCTCTGAGAGTAAGTTTAGTTTATAAATATTATGAACAAAATTACCTTTGACCACTTTCTTGCTACAGGAAGAATAATGTTAGTTAAGAAACGTTATGAAAGATTCCCGTGACTATTTTGATTGAAAGCAAGGTTATTTTAGCTAAGAAAGGATGCGAAGGCGATACATTAGACTATTTTACAGTTGAATGAGGAGTGATTTTATTTAAGAAACGTTAAGAAATGATTGTTTTAGTAAATTTGTTAAAGCATAAAGTGTAGCTTTGTTTAAGAACATTATAAGTAAGAAATATTAAGTTGATAAAGAGAAATACATTAACATAAGTAAGTAAGTAATTATCAAAAGAAGGCACCAAACCGGGAAGGCTATGTAGCACCATCAAATACGCAAAATAATCAGAGGGCGCTAAATATCACCAAGGATGCCAATACGAGAACAAAAACGCATAAGGCGAACGATATCAAAAGTA